ACAAATGTGGCAACGGCTTTGATGATTGCAGCTGAGAGCGGCCACTTCCAAGTTGTGTCCTTGTTGCTGGAGGCAGGAGCTGAGAAAAATCTAGCAAGCACTAAGGGGGCAACGGCTTTGATGATTGCAGCTGAGAGCGGCCACATGGAAGTTGTGCGCGTGTTGCTGGAGGCCGGAGCTGACAAAGATGCAGCAAACACACATGGGGCAACGGCTTTGGTGATTGCAGCTGAGAGCGGCCACTTGGAAGTTGTGCGCTTGTTGCTAGAGGCTGGAGCTGACAAGGATGTAGCAAATGCAAATGGTGCAACGGCTTTGTTGCTTGCAGCCGAAAGTGGCCACATGGAAGTTGTGCGCCTGTTGCTTGAGACGGGAGCTGACAAAGATTCAGCAAAAAGAAGTAGGGCAACACCATTGCTTGTTGCAGCTGAGAAGGGCCACTTTGGAGTTGTGCGATTGTTGCTTGACGCCGGAGCTTCCAAAGATGTTAGCAACACATATGGTGCAACGGCTTTGATAATGGCAGCCGAAAGCGGCCACTTGGAAGTAGTGCGATTGTTGCTTCAGGCTGGAGCTGACAAAGATGTAGCAAACAGACTTGGCGCAACGGCTTTGATGATCGCAGCTGAGAGTGGTCACTTGGAAGTTGTGCGCTTGTTGCTTGAGGCTGGAGCTGACAAAGATGCAGCAAATAGAAGTAGGGCAACAGCTTTGCTTGTGGCAGCCGAGAGTGGCCACTTTGAAGTTGTGCAATTATTGCTGGAGGCAGGAGCTGACAAACATGCAGCAAACACAAATGGGGCAACGGCTTTGATGGTTGCCTCTGAGAGCGGCCACTTGGAAGTTGTGCGCTTGTTGCTGGAGGCGGGAGCTGACAAAGATGCAGCAAACACCAGCAGGGCAACCCCTTTGTTTGCTGCAGCCGAGAGTGGCCACTTGGAAGTTGTGCGATTGTTGCTGCAGGCTGGAGCTGACAAAGATGCAGCAAACACCGGCAGGGCAACCCCTTTGCTTGCTGCAGCCGAGAGTGGCCACTTGGAAGTTGTGCGCTTGTTGCTTCAGGCTGGAGCTGACAAAGATGCAACAACGACGGATGGGTCAAATGCTTTGCTTTTTGCAACCCAGAACGGCCACTTGGAAGCTGTACAATTGTTGCTCAATGCTGAAGTTGACACCAGCAACACCAAATTGGTCAACTCCGACAGCTCCTTTCATTGATGCAGCCCTACGCAACCACTTGAAAGTTGTGCGATGGTTGCTTCAGGCTGGAGCTGACAAAGATTCATCCTTCGCATCATATCGAACAACATATGAATTTGTTCACAAGCACCTGGGAGACCACCCAGTGACCTTTGGATCCCCTGGTTTGAGGTCACAAAACAGGCCTGTAAAAGGTTACATTTCGACTCCAAAAGGTTCTGGTATATGTTCAGGATTTGTTACTTGGGGGTTGTTTCTAAGCCAGAACAAGTTGTTTCTGGTTGACTCGGGTGTGCCATCCAGAAACCTCAATCCTCTGAGCTTTTATTTAGCAAAACTACAGTGCTGTTAGGAGGTTTCTAGATGGCACAAACCATAGACAGGTGGGGGGGGATATAAACCTCCTATATATATTGGGGATTGTACCATCTACGCTGAAACCACAATAATTCAAAACAAGGTGTGTCCACAAAAGGCTGAACGGTCGGTAACATATTCTCACAATGTTTGAGCTGCCGGCCTGCGACCCGGGCCCATCTAAACCATCATCCACTGGGCCCTGATGATTGGGGCATACACAACATTCAGAAGATCTAAACTCGTGAGGTAAACTGTTTTGTTTGTCAACTGCCCCATATATGTTTTTACATCTTCAGGCCTGGGGGGTTGATAAGTCAACAGTCTATATGATTTGTTTTGACAAGAATTTGGGGTCCCAAGCGTTACATAACCCTTCCAAATCCATATGTAGTTCCAGAGTTCCCCATGTTTTGTTTACCCCAGAAGACCTTGCACTGCATATTGTCAATTTGACTACAGTCTTTGGAAGATTGGGTTTGAAGAGATAGCTGTCATTGTCATGTTGTGGTACCATTGGCTTTGAAGTGAAACATATTGGAATATTGGAATTGAAGAGATAGTTGTGGTACTATTGGCTTCCAAGTAGTACATTGTGTTTCCAAAATTGATACATGATACATAGTTCCAACATTTCCCTGAAACATGTGTTTATTTTTTTTGGCATCGCTGACAACACACGCGGCATATCATCATCCGGCGCAGTTTGTCGACGTAGCAACAGAGTCATTGGGTTTGGTGTTTGGGGGCATTTGGATCGAACTGGCGACCGTGGAATGGCTAGATGTGCTATGCTATGCTGGATGAGAAATGGTCTGAAAGATCCATCTCACCCAGACGATCGGCGGCGCAGTTCGGCCTATACAAGACTCCAGGAGCCCGAACCAAACCCCCTAGTGGGCCCCTAGCTGGTGGTGTGGGGTGGTGAATGGTGTCGTTTGCTTCGCCGAAACCGACCGGTCGAAACGCTGCCTTTGAGGTCTCGTGGGAGCGGACGGGCGCGTCCTTCTTCTCCATGGGCGAGGGGACCTTGAAGGTGCCCATGGCCATGCATGCCCAGCACAGGAAGAAGCTGTGCCAGGTGGGACTTAGACTTGGAAGAAGAGTGGACGGTGGAGGGTGCCATGCTCTTTTGTAGAGCCCTGTGTGATTGCAGTAGATTGCAATACCATTGCCTTATCCTGGTTTGGATGTTGATGTCATGTTTTAGCCTGTGGGTGAATCCCCTTTTAAGAGAATGCTTGGTGAATCCCCTGTTCCTGGGCAGCACACTCAAGTAATGTGTTCTCGACCGATTTGCCAGGCCAGTGAACCAGCTGTTGATGGGCTTGGGGATGTGCTGGCATGTAAGGTTTTGGTTAGTTGAAGGCGTCAAAGCCGATGCTGTTCCTTTGTCAGTGCTTCCTGGTTTTCCGTTTCTGTCAGTGGATGCTGTTGGATGTGTGGAAGTTGGAGAGACTCCTGGTTGTGCAGATGATCAGGTGGTTTTGTATTTTCCATTATTTTCCCGAACTGTGTAAATCCCTGAAACCGGGACATATGTAAATTACTGTTTTCCCGGCTTCCGAAGCAGCAAATCCAAGGACTCCTTGGCAGAGTATATCAGGCGCCCCACATGGCCCATCAAAAACCCTAGTTTTCCTTAGCAAAAGCATGGTTTATGTATGGGCTCTATTTTTGAGAGGTTTTGTTCGTGCCGCTGGTCCTTTCTTTTCGGCCCTTTCCGGTCCCATCACACGGGGGTTCACCTTTCCTGCTCTGCTGCAGGCGCTGGCTGGCCGCGTGAGTGACCAGGCAATCATTCTGCTGCAGGGCGGAGAAGAGCTGAGCGTTTACGACACGGAGCGGGGGGGTTCAACGCGCGTTGGATGATGGAGAGCGTACGTACGTGCATGCGTACGTGCGTTGATGGGATGGCGGGTATGGGGCATTGTGTGGGGATTTTCAGGTGGGTATGCGCGTGGCATGCTAATCATCCTACTCGTATTGTTTGTGCATCTCTACATGCATCCTCTTTATCAGACGGTTTCTCTTAAGGGGATCATCCAGGATTCGCTTGAAAGACTGGAAAGCCTGCAGAGTCATGTGAAGATATGGAGCCCCCCGCTGCTGTAAGAGGTTCCTTGGGGGCTGTAAGATATTTTTTTGCTGTACCTTTGACTCCATCCAAGAGGATTCGAGACAGTCCGATGCAAAGATGTATTTTTTGCATTGTTTGGAGGTTTCAATCACCGCCGGAAGTAGGACGTATGACATTTGCATGGAGGAAGCCACAGGAACAATGAACCTTGCAGCACTGAATCTGTGTACTTTGGTCATCCATGTTGCCCAAGAATGAGCATGCCTTTCCTCATGGTGGAGCTGAAGCTACCCTACTCACCTGCAGTTGGAGATGCACCGAAAGGTAGTTAGTTTGAAGAACACTATTCTATTTGTACTATACGTAGGCAAGATCTAGTCAAGCAGAGAAGTCACCATCCATTGTACCAGTTTCAGAACTCTTGGCTCAAGTCCCAAAGGCAACCTTTTCAGCAAAATCCACGTGAACCACTAGGGGCACACCGCAACCCAAACCTTTGCCCCCAGCCCCTCCTTGCAACCCAAAGTCCATGTGGGGTGCCTGTGAGGACACCAACTGGGACTTCAAACAGGAGTGTGGGTGGGAATGCTCAAATGGCCGTGCCGGTAGCTGCGCTGGATGGGAAATTATCAAGAAAGATCCATCTCCTTTTGTATAGGAAGATGGTCCTCCACGGTCTTTACCCTTAGGCCTCCAGTCGTACCGAACCTGAGAAGGTGGAACTGGGGTGGGTGCCAAAACGTCGGGTCCAGTCATACCTTCTCCTCAGGTTCGGTACGACTGGAGGTGTTTTTCGGGTTTGTGAAGGCTTCTAACATGTTTAACAAACCTCATAGACCCTGGTCGTACATCAACCTTAGCCTGGGCTTCTATCATGTTTCACGGGGGTGTTCACTCTTCACCGAGAAACCTGTCGACCGGACGATCCGCGAACTGGCGATCCGTTCCTTGGTTCCGGTCCAGGGAGGTCCGTACGAAGGACCAGAGTCCTTATAAACCTGACCCTTATAAGGGATACCGGGATACCAGACCCTTGTAAACCAGACCCTGAAAGAATGGACAGTGTTTAGATAAAGTCTAGTTTAGTTCTTCTTGATTTGACGAAACCACATTGTATCACCAGAGGTTCAAACCCAACAGGTTGCAAAGACTGAAACCGTAGACCGAAACCCGCAGAAGTGGGGGTGGTTATTTTTCCAGGAAAGTGTCTCCACTGGGATCCACGAAGTCATCGTTTCATTGGTCACGCAGGAGAGCAACTTCCAGTACTTGTTCGGTGTCAAAGAGCCTGGCTGCTTCGCTGCGTTGCGTGTGCGCGATGCGCACGCACTGCTGTTCATCCCTAGGAGTGCTGGGTTTGCATAGCATAGAGAGCGCTAGAGAGCGAGACGGCACACCAAAGCTTGTTTGCATGATGTGTTATTCATTCACATTATATAAGTGATTATGATTCCTTCTTTGTGCAATTGCACAAATGTTTTTTTTGTTTCACGTTTCATTGCCGCAAAAAAAGAGCTGTCACTGCTGTAGACCTCATTTAGTTCTCGTTCTTCGGTGCCGTTCAGCTGCAGCACGCGAGTTGTGGAGGATGGAGAAAGTCTACGAAGCCTGGTGTGGCCCCGTGAAGCCTCCTGCGTGGTTCCAACGCGCCTACGAGGTCGAGGTGCCACGGACAAGGTCGACATGAGCTTTGTTCGTCTTGTTGGGTGGCTATAGGACAGCAACGAGTTGTGGGATGACTGGGGAAGAGAGGAGTGAGTGGTGGAGGTTTCTATAGTTGATGGATGTTGATGGTGAAGAATGGTGAAGAGCTCATGTGATGGAAATTAACATGAAATAGCGACCTATCATGACCTATCTAAATGAGTTTGACAGTTTTTTTTTGATTTCCCCCAAGTGCAGCTTGGAGAAGCAGGTCTTGCGCTGCTTCGCCAGCTTGGTCTCCCATGTTGAGAAGTCGCCCAGCTTGGTATTCCCCGGTGACACGTTCACAGAGGAAGCAGGAAGCACCTCGAAACCAGGCGAAGTGGATAGAAGTGGAGCTTAGCACTGGGTGAAGCGGAGTACAAGAAACGCTCCGGTGAGACATTGAATTGAATAGTAGGGAGACCCCCAACCAATGGGTGCTTGGATGTTTTGGTCTATCCTACCAGGGGTCAAAGTGGGAGGTCTTCCTAGCTGAATACACATGCACCCAAATAAGCAGGCTGCACACGTGTGGAATGTCTTTGACTACCGTTGCTTCCTGTCACGAGGCAGATGTTTGAGGGCCCTATGAGTGGCCCTTTGATGTGGAGTCCATCAGGTCATTGTTGAGGTATAGTGC